TGTGATCCTTCCAAATGATGGGACAAAAGAATGAAGCAGCCTACTATTATTGAATGGTGAGGGGGCTGGAGCACATGACTTATAAGGAGAGTCTGAGGAAACTGGGCTTATTTAGTCTAGAGAAAAAAAGACTGAGAGGGGATTTAATAGCAGCCTTCAACTACCTGAAGGGCGGGGCAGGCGTCGAAAAAGGATGAAGCTAGACTTTTCTCAGTGGTGGCAGATGACAGAACAAGCAGCAACAGTCTCAAGTTGCAGGAAGGGAAGTTTAGGGTAGATATTAGGAAGAATTTTCTCACTAGGAGGGTAGTAAAACACTTGAACAGGTCACCCAGAGAAGTTGTGGACTCCCCATCCTTGGAGGTTTTTAAGACCCGGCTAGGCAAAGGTTTGGGTAGGATGATCTAGTTGGGCACGGTCCTGCTTTGAGCAGGGGGTTGGACTAGATGACCTCCTGAGGTCCCTTCCCACCCTAATTTTCTATGATTCTAATTCCTCCAGCTTCATAGCAGAGTCAATGGAAATGCTGTCAGACTGGATAATGGAATCCCCGAAACTTGGGAGACTCTCTGTAGGTGCATCTACTCGTTCATTAATGGGCCATAGTTACAGCACATTAAGTTTAGTACTTGGATAACCAAGTACTAAATCAATATGCAGTAACTCATGCTACTGCGCAGTAGCTCTAGCACACAGGTTTTTCAAATGCTAACTGCGCAGTAGCTTAATACTCCTGCACAGTAACATATTAGTATGGGTTTTGCCCAGCACGCTACTGTACAGTGTTATTAGGCTACTGAACAGTTAGCGTCTCGTGTAGATGCACCCTGTATGACCATACAGCATTCAAGGGTATAAGTACTGCTTGTGGTAGCCAATCCAGGCAAAAAACTGCTTGTCCTTTCATAATCTACAAAGATAAACACTATCTTGACAGGAAATGCAATTCTCACAGCAGTGAGGCCAGGGGAAGCAGAAGACAGAGCCCTTTCAGTAATCAGCCCATCATTCTTCATGTCCTTTTCACAATAGCTAAGAATAACAGTGAACGAGACCATGCTTAGGCAAGACCCGATTCTCTGATACCGCCTTCAGACAACATGCACACACACCCTCACCCACTCCCGCATGCCAAGAGACATGCACAGCCTCTCCCACCCACATGTGAATGTCATTATCAGAAACAGAACAGAGGAGAGAACAGCAGATGAAAGAAATGAAGTTCTAATTAATCCTACCTGCCTCAAGACAGAGGAGAGTAGTGTGAAAATCAGAAGAGAAGCAGAACAACAGATCTCTGTTACAAAGCTTTCACAGAAAATACTTTTTTTTTTTTTCCCAGATACAGGGTTATGGACACAACCTGAAAACCTAGAGAGAATACAGAGTAACAGATGAGGCAGGTATGTTACCTATTTAATGGGCTTAGTAATTATGATTTTATGTTGAGACACTTTAAATTTGAGCAAATAATTCCATGATTTTTGCATGAGACTCACGTTATCTATTATTCGTGTTACAAGAATACTTGCCTTTATCATCTCATATAGTAGCATAAGTGGAGGGGTGGGGGAGAAAACCAGGGCAGCAGCCCTGGTTGCTACCTTTGTGGAAGGCTGCAAAAACAGCCACTATCACAGTGGCAGCCTGTGCTGTCCTGTGAATCTATGGCTGCTCCAGGCACAAAGCTGCCCTACTATACCTCTGATTTCATATAAAAGAGCATTTGAAGTGACAGGAAACTGAAAGCATCAGGAATGAAGTACTTCTTCTTGAGGTTACTAAGCTATTGAAAATAGTTTACTATGCTGTTTTTTCTCTAAAGTGACTTTTAGTGTTACCTGTGCAATCACAGGTTGTTGGGTCATAATTAGACTATAGTATTGAACTATTAATCAGAAGTGGAACAAAACTGTGGTGCACCACCAGTGTCTCTTCAAACTCCAGGAAGAAAGAACAAGTACGTGAACCTACGCTCACCATTCTCGTTCAAAACTCTCACAACATTCTATTTGATTAACAACTTACGTGATTTTATAGGCATATATGTTCTTGCAAGATTTCAGTCTGAGATGGTGAAGCTTATGAATCTTAAAAGAGTTCTGCCATTTTGTAATAAAATCTCAACATAGGAACAATAACATGATTTTGCTGCCATTGAATCCAAACTGTATTACTCAAAACCTACTCTCAGTTGCCAGTCTAAACCTGATCTGCAACTGAATGCTGCCTCCTTCACCCATCTATCCTATTAAGACTTTATTTTTTAAAAACATAGATAAGCCATGGGTCCTGTAAAGATCAGAGGTGGATTTTTCAGCTCAGAGGCTGAACAGAAAAAAAAATAGGAAAAATTGTTAAACATAAACAGAGCTATTTTGTGTTTCCCAATGTTTAAAAACAAATTTGGTTTGGGTCAGTCCAAAATATTCATAATAGCCAAAAAGAAATGTTTCATTTCATTTTGAGGTTATTAACTTTTTTAACTCAAGTGATGTTTTCAAGAACATTTCTGTTTTGAAACAAAAACTAAAAAAAATTAAGTGTAAAATGTCAGAAATTTCATTTAAACATTTCTCAAAAAGTTTCTCCCTTTTTTTTATCTGAAAATCTGTAACTCCAATTCATAAATAATTTTGTTTCCTCCAGATCTCCAGTTTTCATGACATATACTACTTGACAAAAATACTCTGCCTCAATCTGGTTACAAGGACAAAAGTTAGCTCATAACACATACTGAGTCAATAATTATGATAACAAATTCATTCATTCATCCTAGAATTTTACTAAATGTTCTGTCACTGCTATTATTGTTATTTTAGCTGAATTTATAGCACCAAGAGAAAAATAACCTAGGAATAACCAAGGTTAAATCATTCCCAGGAGAGTTTCTCCTGGCAAAGTGAATGTCTGTACAGTTTACTCTTCTGACAAAAACCACAGTCCTCCAACAGTGTAGAGTGCTTTGCTCCTCCCCACTCCCAAGGATACAATGTTTTGCCCAAGCTGGACTCTACTACTCCAGCTGAGCAGGGAGCAGAATATGCCTCCCTCGCAGTCCCACTTTGTGCTGCAGGGAGACAAGCTGATGCTGATCAGTTTGGGTCAGCCAATCAGGGCTGCCATCTACACTGCTGCCATCTATTACCAGGCAGACTAAAGGAGTCTGCAGAGCATGCTAAGATGTATGCAGAGGGGCCTCCTGGCTGTACAGCAAAAGCACTGCAAACTCTCTACTCCTCAGGGGCTCAGTATTTGTATGTCTGTTCAGGCATCTCCAGGTAAATTCTTCTATCAGGAGAACAAACCCAGGAGAATTCTCCCAAGTCATTTAAACAGGTGTACACAGCCATAGCTCACAGAGAGAGAATTCCAAATTCTAGTGGATGGACCATTAGTATGTTCTACTCTGAAAAGTCTTACATTCCTGTGCAAAAATAAATTAATTAAAATGAACTGTATCTCACCATATCTGCCAGAGAAATGTACAGGAACATGCCACCAGCTAATGCAAAGATGATGTGAGGAGCAAAATTGTTGCCCACTAATATGCCAAAAGCCAGCCCGATGTAGCAGGAGCAGGCTGAAAGGAAGTTGAAAAACAAAGCCTGGCGAGTGCTCATTCCTGAATTAAGCAAAATGACAAAATCTCCTAAAAAAAAACAAACAAACAAAAAGGAACATATTTAGGAAATTATGTTACATGACTATTCTGGATCTGTAAGAACTACAGTAGATCATACAAATGTTACACCCCAATGCTAACTTTTTTATATTTATTTAAATACTGGAATAATATTTTCAGTCAAAGGTAACTAGCAGTGTTAATCTGAAGTCAGATGGAAGGCAGGGTAGAGTTACACTTTATAGACAAGCTAATTCAGAGATGCATAAACTTTTGTAAGCAACAGTTCACTTCACAGCAGGGGCGGGCAATTATTTTGGGCGGAGGGCCGCTTACTGAGTTTTGGCAAGCTGTTGAGGGCCGCATGACAGGCAGCCAGGGGCAGATAAATATTCATTTTCTAAATCTTTTAGGGTCCCTGCAGGCCGCATAAAAATGGCCTAGTGGGCCGCATCTGGCCCACGGGCCACATTTTGCCCACCCCTGCTTCAGAGTCTATGAAAGCACTAATGTGACTGGAACATTCCAATACAATTATTTGACAAACAACTTAAATTAATGGGCATGCCTTACCAAGTTCATGAGGGAACTCTTCACATAAGATTGCTATGGATGTACTAAGTCCCTGAAGAAGAGACAAGGTAAAGGAGGCACCAATAGCCAGACCATCAATGAAGTTATGTAAAGCATCACTCAGTGTGATCATCCAGGCAATTGTTCCAATCTCGGATAGTGCGGGCCCCTTAAAACATTTACATGAGCACCTTTGGTTTTTTTCTTCCTAGAGAAACAGCATGAAAATGACACGAAGCACGAAACTGCTGCAAATAAGTCAGTTAATTTCATTTCCATTGTTAAACAAATCTAGATTTCCTGAAAAAGTAATGTAATACTCATCTTAGAAACCCACATTTTCTGTCCATGGAATAGACATTGGCCAAGCAGCAGCAGCACATGCTTTTCCATATCATTGCATTGATATGCTTTGACCCAAATCACCTCCCCAGCTATGAAATGGCAGGTCACTGCCCTTCTGCTGAGACAGCTATCAAGGGTGAAAATTGTGAGGGCAGCTTTTACCATTCACACATCAGTCCACCAGAAGTTCCAATGACAACACAATTTTTTCACATAGGGACTGATGGCTCTTCAATGTACCAGCTACCCAAACTGGATTTGAATCATAAAACTGGAAATAAAAGGGGCTCTCATATGCTTAGGGTTCAATCAGTAATTTTCCTACATGCTGATAACATTTTCAAAGTTAAAAAATAGCTTACTAACAGTTACAGAAAGAATGAACATTAAGACTTTCAGTTTTATGCCCCAGAAGTCAAGTATGTTAAAAACCAGACACCAGTTAACAATAAACAGTTCTGGCAGACAGAGAACCAAATTACCTGAAGTTTAACAGGATATAAATAAATCCTTTTTTGAGAAAATTCTTATAGTCCAATCTGATAGTCTTCTCAATGTTTCCACTTAATATTTATAAAGTAATAGCATTCCAGGTTTAAGTACAATAATATGTTTACATAAAACAAGGAATGCTCTTGCAAATGAACTATTAGCTATTGCTTATAGCTGAAATGGGTAAATATACATATTAAACAAACAGCTTTCTTTTTCTTTTAATATGCCTTAAAAGCCAACATACAGCATATTCCCCTAACTACAAAAATAGACAAAATTGTAGAAGGTAAATTTTTCTTAATTACAAAAAAAGATTTTTTAAATGGTTTAATATTGATGTGTGAAAAATAAGAATAACTGGGAAATTGCAATTTATAAGATTAGTAAACAAGAGTATAAAATAAATAACTACATTATTTTAAGTAGCAATAGACCGGTATTTTATCCCAATCACCATATTCTTATCTGAAATAATACAATCTATTATACAAGGGTTATCCTGGGAAAGGACAAAAGCTCAAGTCAGGGATTTCTGAGCCAAATACTCATTGCCCTACTGAAAACAGAAGCTGATAAAGCTTTGGCTATTTACAACAGATACCGTTAATCTGGGGTTGTCAACCGGGGGTATGCATACCCCTGGGGGTACTTTGAAAGGTCCCAAGAGGTACGCAGGGGCGGGCAGGGACAGAGCACAGCCACCCCGCACCACTGCCTCACAGGAACAGGGCTGGGGCGGGGCAAGAGCAGGGCCATACAGACGCTGTGCTACTCCTGCTCACCACACCACCACTCCACATCTGGCCGCTCTCCACCACCCCCCACCTGTGCTCCACGTCCGACCGCTTGCCACCCCCCCCCGGGGTACAATTACTAAAAAGGGGGCTACTGGGGGTACACTTATTAAAAAAGGTTCAAAACCCCTGCCATAAAGCAATTATAGCCTCTACCGGCACATACCAAAAGCAAGAGTAATAGTTTTATGAGATGAAAGAAGTAGCCAAAAAAAAAGATAGGCAACTTCCATGCTGATCCCATTATGTCAGTTGTACCCATCTTTTCTATATCTTTCTATTCTTATAGGCCCTGACCCTGCAAAAAAAATTCTTTCTTTGCAAGCTTTTGGGCCCAAGCGCCCTTCCTCAAGCATAGGAGAATTCAAAGTTTGTAAAAGTGCTCCCAGGTAGAAATGAAACTTCATCTTGCACAGAAGAATTAAAAGATGGTAGGGTTCCACTGGGTGCAACAGTCCATTTTAACAAAGATTGTTCTGTGAGTTCTGGGAGAACTTTTACACACTTTGAATTCTCCCGTGCCTGAGGAAGGGCGTTTGGGTCCGAAAGCTTGCAAAGAAAGAAAAAATGTTGCTACTATTTAGTTGGTCTAATAAAAGATATCGCCTCTACCCCAAGTATTTTGTCTGCCTATGCTTTTAGACCAACATGGCTAAAACTAACATCCCTGACCCTACAAATCACTTAAGCATGTGTTTGACTTCAGTGGATTGCCACATGCTTAAGCCAGTGACTCTCAACTTTTTTTAGATACAAGGCATCTTTTATTAGACTCAAAGCATACCTCACAAAATGTCTTTAAAAAGCTCTTAGCTTTCATTCATTTTTTACTATGGACAAATAATAGAGCAATTCTTCAGTTTTAAAGAATTCAAAAAAGCACTTCTGTTTGACAGATTTCCTATTTGAAATCACTGGGTTTATCTTGTGAATCATACTGGCACACCTAACAGTGCTAAAATTACATGGCACCCCCAGCACCCTGGAAACCATTTCAAGGCACCCCAAGGTGCTTTGGTGTTCCAAATCTATTTACCTTTTATTATGTTTAAAAATTCTTTAACTGAGTTTAACATTCTCAAATCAAGCATGGACTATCTGCTATCTTGCAACAAAATTACTGCCTAAATGTATACCGTTATAATCAGCATAAATAAAACAGGTAGATAGTCTTTACCACCTAAAGTGTCAAGCATGTGGCCCTGCCTTCCAGCCCAACTTCAGATGAAATACCTTCAGATGAAATAACCTGAAACATTATTAATCAAATAACCAATAACTTCAGGGCTTTGGTGCTTGATTGGAATTCCATTGAACATATGCTGCCCAATCACAGGTGATCTTCTCTAGTGTTGCAGAGCACTCAGGTGCACTGCTCCTAAGACGGGAGAAAACTGCTAGGCTAGCAGTGAGTGATGAGCCCAGCTGCAGGTTGCCACGGCAACCAGAGGAGGTCAGCTGACCAGAAGGGGCTCCCATATAAAGCCCAGGGGCTGAGGCCAGGCTGGTAGTTCCCTGCCAGTGGTCAAGGAGGAAGGAGCTCTCTCTCATGGAAGAGAGGAGACGCCTGACTCAGGGAGCAGCATCTGACATGGCTGAGGGTGAAGTATCCCCAATAGGCTTGAACGTGGTTATAGCCGGGCGGCTTCCGTTCATGTTATAGCCCAGGGGCTTGCGTTGTGTTACTGTTTAATACCAGTGGTTTGGGTGAGGCTACTAGGGATTGGAGGAGGCCTCATAGGGGACCCACAGCAGTGTGGAGACCCCGGCGCCAGTGAGGGCGCAGCATTCGGGGTGCACTGACCCTAGCCCCAGAAAGGGGGCAAAGGAGAAGCCTCAGGAGAAGGGGGCAGCATTTGAGAAATGCCAGAGGGAGGGCGGCATAGATGAGTGCCAGAGAGGGTGCCGAGTGAGACCAGGGCCATGGAGAGCCCAAGCGCCAGAGAGGGCGCAGAGCTAGACAGGGCCATGCAGGGCCCGGAGAGGACAAGGAGGCCAAATTATAACAGGGCCCGGACAGAACAACGTCTATTCCATCTACGAGGCTTGGGGCGTGGTAAAGGGGTGGTTGGAGCCACGCATAGCCCATAAGGCTAGGGTGCCCCAAGAGAACAGTGGTACTACCTATCTTGGAACAGGACCCCCAAGGGGTCCGGGAGTCCGCAGGGTCAGATATTACAGCAAACCGTGTCCAAGAGGACGTAAGGCAGCCTCCCATATATTTAATCACCATCAAAGACGTGGCCGGCGAGAATTTGAGGGTGCCTTTGGGCCAACTTGGCACGGGAAGGGGGCCTTGGGGAGATCACGGCCATCCCGCAGGACCTCATGCCATGACATCTAGTAATGCCAAAAAACACATGAGTAATAGCAGCTTCAGCGGGGAATTATCATTAAAGGAAAGCCAGTAGGATAAAACTAACAGAGAACTGGTGGGAGAAGGAAACATGGTAATGACAGATCTTCAGAAGTTAGACTTCAAATTTCAAATAACCCAAACACCCTGTTATTTAACAGGGCTAGAGTCCACAAGCTCTTTCACCTGTGCCTCATTTCTTTTGTTAGATTTTTTTACTTCCATATTTTTTCTTTTTCCTGGTATGCTTTCTTCAAATTGTCCAAAAATTCACTGAGGATTTACTTTGTAGATTGTGCTGACTTCTGTCAAAAGTATGTCTCATTGACACATTTCTAGCTCTGCTGAGGATATAGCGCTTGAAGCTACACAGAGATTTTCTTTTTGAATAATGTATTACCTGGGAAACCAGTGGATCATGAATTTTGTAGCCTCTGGGGTCACTTACAAGGCCACATGACTTTATATTAGTTAAGTGCCTTGTTCTTGCTGATAAAAAAAAGTGGCAAGTATTCACTGAAAGACAGCAGCACTAATCTCAGGTGATCATAGTTTTAAAAGACACATTACCAACCCTTGTTCTCCTATCTTTATTTTACAAATATTATTATAGTTTTTATTGAGGCCTGCTGATATCTTCTTGCCTCAGAACACAATCACCCAAGAAATACTGAAGAATTCACTGAAAGGATGGGTTCTGTGTACTCTGGAAAAACTTTGCTGTGGAAATTATTGGGCTCATACTTTCTCAAATTACATTGCAATCACTCCCCATAAAATATGTGAAAGTAAAAACATTTGTACATACCAATTTTGCATTCAAGCTTTAAATTACCTATTTTTTCATGCTAGCATGGGGTGTGTTGAATAGTTGTAGGTACAAAGTTTCTGGGGCACAGTAGGTGTGAATGATTGAAAATGTATTATTTATTTGGAAACTATTTTATTTCTTAATTATTAAGATGAACCACACACACAATTTTATGGATCCATTTTATCAGTGAATTCTCCCCCATGCATATTAATGGCATTTAGCTATGGACCACTGTTAAAATAAAAATATATCCTTTATCAGTGACAAAATTAAAAAACCAATTTTTTGTTCTCAGTCACCTCAGTGGGAACTCCCAATGAAGTCAGTGGCACTGCAGAGGCATGACTAAGGGAAATGTTAGATCCACATGCTTTGCCAAAATTGAAATATATCATCTATGAATAAGGCACATATAGAATCTTTTACATGTGCTGGAAGAGATTGAATAATTTGGTATCAAAATGCCATTTGAAGGCTGGAAAGATTGTCGAACTGTTTAAGAATGGGACTGACACTTACTTCAGTGAGCTGGAGGGTGTTTTGTGCTTTGGAGTTTTGTATGGCTTGATTTTTCCTTCTTTTTAAGTAATGTTCATTATGTAGAGTTCAAGGAACTAGTATAGATTTCCATATGATTTTTTTCTCTCTTGATACATTAAAGAGAATACCTGCTTCATTAGGGTCTGGAAGAAATTTTATTCCATGGTCAAATTGGTATGAACAGCGTAGGTGTGTTCCCCGAACGCACCCATGCAGTTTTGGCTGTGGAAACACATTTGCAACCCTGCAAACCACACATGATCCACGTGCATGCTAATTTGCAGCACAGCAAGCTCCCAGTGTTTAAAAAAAACAAACCAAAAAAAACACCTGCCACAAAAAAAGCAGTGTAGAGCACATGGCAGCTGCCAGAAACCAGAGCCATACTCTGGCTGCCAGCCAGGCTCCAAGCAGCCGGGTTGCCACCGCTGCTGCCCTGGGAGGCCCCCAGGACTCCAGGTAAGACTGCTGGAGACAGCCCAGGTGCTGGCCCCAGCCTCCCCTACCCCACCCATGGCAACTTGCCATGTGCCAGAGCACACATGCAGGGGTGTGCCTGGTGACAAATAGCAGCAAGACAAATATGTGCCACTGCTATTTGTCCCCAAGAAAGTGCACGTTCCTGCTCATGGGGACATGCCATGTGGGTTTTTGCCTTCCTTTGTAGTGCGGGATGTCACCTTCTTCCTTGGATCTCTCAAGCATATTTTAACAAACACTGCAACAGCAGAACATTGGCCACCATTATCATCATCATCCTGCTTTACTGTGGCAGGTTAAGGCACTATGCATTTTGGTTGTGTGGAAGAGTTACCTGTGTATTTTTAGTAATAGGTTAGACAAGGATTTGCTTCAGATAGTTTGAATAGGGATGATCCAGCCTCATGCAGGGGATTGAATCAGATGGCATCTACAGATTTCCCTTCCAGCCCTACTTTTCTTTGATTCTATAATTCTTTAAAAAGGTAGAAACAACTAGAGGTTCAAATTTGGGTGTGGGTTCTCAGAGAACCACAGTGTTCCAGGCAAGGGGAAACATGATGAGTTCCTCATAAACTAGTTGTCTGGTCATTATATTGTGACCTCTAAAATATACTAATCCTTGCCCTGGCTGTTTCAGTCCTTTCTTTATCATACTTAAATGATAATGTGTTGGCTTGTTATACATGTATAGAGTGCCAGGATATTACTCTTCCAATGGTATCTTATGAACAAAAGATTATTTGATTGCATGTCCTACCAAGGTAAGGAAATAAATTCCAATACAGATGGATATTCTCAATAGCCAGGATAAAGGGGCATGAATATATTCCCTTACAAATGTATAGGCTACATGAGAAAATTGTCATATCCATCCCTGCTAAACTACCCTAGCATGCACTCTTCTGTGATTGCATAGGTGCCAAGCAATCCCACTGGACTTACATAGCTGGCTTACAAAATGTCAGGTATTATAAAGGGAAAGTTCTACACTATTACACCTCTATAATTTATTTTATAGACAAAGGCTTATGTAATAGTCTTCCTATTTCACCATCATTTTTTATACAGTTCAGCTCCCTTAAGCCTCCCTCTTACCCTCAACTTCAACAAGGCAATGGGCACAGGGTCCTAAGTCTATTTGGGAAGTAGTACCTCCTTCACTACACTTCTTCCTTCACACAGACAAAAACTGAACACTAGATGTAATACTGAAAGAAAATCACAGCATTTCTTTGCTGTGCTTTGGAAGCACCCCAAGAGCTAGAAGGAATGAGACCACACACACACACACACACACACACACACACACACACTGATAAAAACCATTGTAACATTTTATAGACAACTCTAACCTTTGTTTGTTTTGTAAGACAGACCTTTGGAGTATTTTGTCTCTGGAGCAACATTTCCACAACATCATTATTTTTTAACCATATAATTTTACTGCATTGTAAAAAGGAATTTTGGGCACATAAGAGGTTTCCACGGCTGAAGTTACTGTTGCAAGTAAAAGTTAAAAGTATGTGACTAATTAAATATTTATAGTGATCCTGACAGACAGTCTGTTCAAACATTAAAAGAAGGATACCTACTGTCCTGGTGAATGACAGCAAGCAGTGCATTTTGACACAGGCAGCTTACTATCACTTCCTTTAAAAGCTTATGTGATGAGCTCTCCTCACTGTACACAGTTTATCCACTCTAACAAGTTTTACATTGCAATGATACATTAAAATTCTAGTACTTGCATGTCAGCCTATGCCAAATGGATCCCTCATAAATACCAACCATAATGCATAAGCCACCTTTGAAACACTGAACTTAGAGCCTCCAAGACAGCCAAAAGGCTCTTTGTATGTACACATCAAGGTGAAATGGCAACTATAGGGGACAGATTTGCTGACACCAATACAAAAACGTGTTAATTATAATTCCTTAGATGCCAGCCTGTGGAGCCATCCATTTGGAAGAAAAGCAGTGCCACTGTCACCGCTTGAGACATTAAAGCATACTAGAAATATCATAAGCCTGTTATGTAAGTTCATGGTCTCCCCTTGCCCAAGGTTGTGGTGCCATTGTAGGCTCTGTAACTAGCATCTGCATTTTACAGCTATAGGTTCCAGAGATTTCTCTGGGCTGTATGTTTAATTCTGCAGTTTCTCAGCCCAGTTCACATGCCATTCCAACTCTGTCAGTGTGAGGCCAGATGGGAATAGTAACAGAAACCTTGTAGAACAAAGGCAATCTCAATGTACAATGTTAATTATTTAGCTAATGATGTTAAACCTGCTATGCTTTAAATCCAGTATACTGAAGATGCCTACTGAAGATTACTCTTTGGGGCCAGCTCTGAGGTAAGGGTGAATGCAGGCCTCAAAAGTAATCTTCAACAAGGATTTTCAGTATGTAGGTTTATGTTATGCCGGACTTTTAAGAGTTTGAATTTTCTTAATCACTAAAATTGTGTGCATCAGATCCTCATCTCACAGAGCCCCAAACCTGGAAAATGAGTGTTTCATTATGCACAAATAGCTCTTTCAGCCATTTCCTATGTCTCCCTCCTGTCCCACTTCCCTATTCCTCACTGAACTGTATTGAGCAGCACAACAGAAGGATGGGAGACAGTCACTATGCAGCAGCTACATGATATTCCATGCAGTGACTAGATGAAAAAACTAGAGAAAAAAGGCCATTTCTATACTACCATTTTCTTTAACACAGGATACCCAGCATTAGCAATGGTTTGCTTCTCAGCATGACCTCCTGGTAGTATTGAGAGAAGAAAAAGAAAAGGGAAGCTCAGAAGCACATTACTTTTCTCCTTCCGATTTCATCCACTCCCTAAGTTGGCCAGGGATCATATTTGGAAGATAGGCCAAGTAGCAGAAAGAAACAGAATATGCATGGCAAAGAGGATGATATAACAGAGCTCTAATACATACAGCAGAAAACTTAAACTGGGGGTTAAATTTGCACCTTATTCCCATGCCCTGCTGTAGCCAACCCTCCTGGACTAGCACAACAAGCCAGAATAATCTCGTGTGCAATGGAGATTAAAGATGTATAAATGAAGATGATCAAAAGTGAGATTAATGGGGCCAGCAAATATCTCTGAGACCTCTGGTTGGAGGTTGACTGACTGAAGAAGCAGAAATTCATCGTGATCATTTCACATCTGCAGTGCTGTATCACTTAGAGACCTTTTAAAAAGAAAATCAAATAAACTGGCAAAATATTGATTCGTGCTCTACTTCTGCTAGCTTTGCTACATGCTGGTTTATTTGGCAGCTAACAAAAAATCATCACCACATTTGCTAGCTTGCCAAAACTGCAGCTTGTTCATACTGCACAAGTGAGTTGTAAGCTAAAAGTTAACAAAAGTATGAAAACATTCATAGAAGCCTACATTAACTCTCTTTACTGGATAAGTCCATATAAGCAGTTGTGATACACTAAATTAAATAACAAATTAAAATGGCTATACCTGACCAGGATCCACACTGATATTGTCATAGGAAAGAGTTCCATTAGGCTCTACTACAGCTGAATTTGCATAGCATGTGATTCCATTGCTGGATTTCACTGGTTTGGGTAGATTACCATTATCCTGGGGAATATTCTTTTCATTAATTTCAAAGTGATTGTGGTCACCCTTGTGAGAGAAAAAAAAAAACCCAAACAATAAGAACAACAGCTTGTGCATTTATATTGACATTTGTTTGTGTTTATTATATTAGACAAACCTTCCCAAACCAATCACTGTAACATTTATTTTCCAAGTAGCATTTGATAGTTATTAATGGAAAGATGCCTGGTCAAATAGTGCTGTTTTTACTTCCTTCCTTCCAGCTGTTAAATTCCCCCCAACTAAAAGTGTATTAAGCACTTCCCAGTAGTTCTTTTCCCTGTAACCAATCAATGCAGTTCCCACAGGAATTTTATGCATTGTGGTCTCCAAAGACAGGGGCTGATTGAACTGGAGGCATCTTGAGAAGATGCATAAGACAGTCCCCCTAATGTGATCTGGGTAAGCTCAGGAACATCCCTGCTTGTACATGCTTCCACTGTAATGTATACAGACCAACAACTTACTGGCATACATCAGAACTATTCTATGCAGCAGCCCCATTACTTACCTGGCCATAGATCTTCAATACCATTTTAAGAATCCTTTCCACAAAGAAGAGAATATAGAATCCACCAAACACAGCTACTGCTTTCTCAACATAGTTATCTATTTTGGGATCAAATCCAAATGCCTAGGAAAGAATGTAATGGCAACTCAAAGTTAGTCAACAGACTTAGTTCATTTTAGGAGTAAAATACAACACTTACACACTGTTTGTGAAGCAGAGTGCTTCCTGACCACCCTTTAGCTTCAGTGGGTCCTAAATTATTACAAACATGTAAGTAGGCCTAATTTTTACTCTGCTGTAATGTGCTAGAATGTAACATGTGGAGTGCAAATGTCATTTTTAAAACAAGTACGCCCTTTCCTTTTGAGCATCTAAGCAGCAGCTTTTTAGCCTTTTATGTAGTGTTTTTGGCACTTATGCACTGTAATGTCTCCTTTTAGCCTTTTTTCCCCTGCTCTCTTCCCCCTCCCCTCTCTTGCTTTACCTCTCTGCTTTACCATTTGTTTGCCTAATTTCTATCTATTTATATTCTCACTGACATCTTGCCACGCTTTTAGCTTCTCTCATTTCTTGGAGTCTCAGAACAGCAGAGGCTCCCTATGCCTGAAGAAGGGTAACTGTGCCCGAAAGCTAGCAAAAAAGTTTTTTCCAACTACTCAGTTGGTCTAATAAAAAATAATCATATTTACTCAAAGAATCTTGCCTGCCTATGTCCTCAGTTCAACAGAGCTACAACCAAAAGCCCAGCATAGAGCATATATGAGCAGTAGGTTAAGCCTTGGCTGGGCGGCTACATGTCTATGTATGCATGCCTATTCTAAAGACACCTTGCACCTAAATTAAGAACATGCAGTAAGCCAAAAACAACTTGACTAGTCAGTAGTAGACTCTAGAGGAGGAGGACCCTCACCTAGAACCTGGAGAGCCAGGTTCTAGGCTTCCCTTTCTCAGGAGGAATCTGAACCTGCATCTCACTCTTCCCAGCACAGTGTTCTGATTACCACACACCAGGTTAGACATAATCCAGGCCTCTCTCTGGTGCTCCTTTTGAGCCTGAACACCTGGGCAACCAAGAGTGGGAAATACGAGGGCCTGAGAGGAAGAGAGCAAGTGGGAAAATATGTGGCTCAGAGAGAACAGAGAAGGAAACAAGCTTGGGGTGCTAGCTTCGGCCCTTGCCTCCCACCTGCAGAAAAACTCCTCCTCTGTGCTGCTCTTTATCCAATGACTATTACATGCAAGAGGCAGTGGATTAGCTTCAAAACTGGCTAACTTCAATACTATTAAAATTATATTCCATTCAGTTACACCAGGCTGGATTTACTCTAAAGCATTTCTTTCTTTCTCCAGGAAGAAAAGTATATTATAGTACAGTGGCCCTCAACCTATCCCATGTTACAAGAAAGGAAAATGTGGGGACACCCTACCTGTCTCACCATACAAATGATGTTCTATTTATTTTCTTTATTTAGCAAATGCAAATCCACAAAGACAAACAATAGCATCCTCATTAGCTGAGTTCAAAGTTATTAATTTGTAGAAAGGATACACCTTGGTGATGCACGGCATTGTTTGCATCTCTCCACAAGTGCACAATGGGTGGTGAAGGTTGGCTGCGCAGGAGCTCTGGTCTGTCCTGAACCTGTTTAGCAGGGACCACTCTTGCCATTGATGAGTGGGGTTTGTCACAAGGAACTCGTTTGTAACTTCCCGTGATTTCAGGACCCTCTGAAATCTGCTCACAACTTCCTAGCAGATCAGAGCCCACACTTCACAAATCACTATACTTTGGAAACATAAAAGTGCCATAAACAATGAGACTCCTTCCTTACCTCTGGGATGAGCTGGAAAATTGCATTAGAAAAGAGAGTCCCAATGGCCAAGCCCACAAAATATGTTAAAATCTTGGGGAAATATGGTTTCTTTAAGAGAGGAGTTAAGACCAATCCCAGAAGTGATGCAAGGCTAATGATAGTCACGGCCAGGAATCCAAAACCCCAAACTGTGGATGAGAAAATAACAGATATACCAAATATTTTAGTATACTATCCATTTCAGTTTTGTTTCTAACAGCTAAATTGACAACAAGCAAAATAGTTTACAAATCTTTTTCCACCAGTTAAAATCAGACTTTACAAATATAGTATATAGTTGTAAGTTTAAGGATATGACACCAATGAAACTGAAATATTGAGAATGATTAGTTCCTATCTGGGACTGACCAGCTCAGGGAAGTAGTATGAGGTCTGGACTTTACTCAGACAAATTCTTAGCTCCTTTAAATTAGTTAGAGGCAATGAAGAATCAGGATCAATGCCTAAAAAGATACAACAACCAGGACATTCATGACATTAGTTTAGGGTATACCAGGGGTAGACAAAATATGGCCCATGGTCCAGACCTGGCTCACAGGTGGGCACTGCCAACTGACTGTGTCCAGCCCATGGGTGCCCCCACAGTGTTCTGCACAGGGCCAACCCCCACCCACTCCCAGCCAGGACAGCCTGCACTGCACTCCTGCCCACACCCACCTAAGGCTGCATGCTGGCCAGTACGCAGAGCTTCCCCACAGAGCTGCTCCCAGTGCAGCGGCAGCCAGCCACCTGGTCACTGCTTAGCTCCTCCCACCTCCAGTGGCTCCTCCTCCTGCCCCTGCTGCACCACTCTGGACAGTAGGTAACGTGGGGGAGATTTCATAATTGTTTCAGCTGAATTCCTTGACTCCCCTCACATCCTTACCCTTTTTACAGGAAAAACATTTATGAAACATTAAGTAGGGACTTGCAGTTTCCAGTTCCATTCTTCTTTTGCTGTTTCAAGTATTCCTGTTCAGAATATACACAGAGGTTTTCTGAAAGAGTTGCTACCTATCTAGCCTTGAAAAATAGATAGCTTTTGAACAGATGTATCATTTTCCATTATAAAAAGAGAATGGCCCAGGACCATAGGAGAGAGTGGAATGATCCATTTTTTCATTTGTAATTTTTTATCAGTAATAATCCATTTTTTCACTAGTGCTCTTTCCTGTAAGATTCCAATGTTATGAGGAAATTAATAACAAAAATGTCCTGGTTCTCAGCTGGTATAATCAGTACTTCTTTTTTAAGTCAATAAACCTCTGCTAAATTCTAACAATTGGGGAATCTAGCCCAGAAAGTTTTAATTATTCTTTAATTACATAAAATCTTGGGTTAAGACCTCATGTAACTTCACAACTTTTAGCGAGCAGCACTTCTGCATGTATGTTGCATGATAGGACATGATATAAACTCTAAAATTCTGACTTCATTTTAAGAACTGTGGGCCCTATAATCCCATGCACCAGAGGGATAAATTCACATACAAAACACGATGGAGCTGACCTTCTAAAAGAGTGGGAAAAACCTGTTTATCACTAGGGAATTCATAAAGCAGCCTGTTCTGTTCTGTTCTCTAGCTGTGCACGTCCCTTAGTGTTGCTAGGAATCAGCTGTACCAAGCACCAAGAGATAGAAAGAACCACATGTAGCAAATACCTCCACGTTCTTACTCTTCAGCTTGATGCCAGCCTGCATGGAGCCTCTTTGTGTTGTGTTTGTGTGTAGAAGCTTCTCTGACTTCAGAGACAAGGGAAGCAATTTGTTCTAGAAAATATCCTTTCCTATAAAACATCTTCCTATAGGGTCAATTCCAAGTGAAAGTCTGTTCCTCAGACCCTATCAGTGCTATGCACCTGAGAGCCAATAAATACTCTCTGAACAGAATGGAACACGGAACTAAAAATGAGTAAGTGAAAAGTGAGACAAATATCAGACTAATGTTATCACTGACTCACAGTGGGACAATGACTAATAGCATTTGGGGAAGGGGAAGGAGGAAAGATGCAAACAGATCAAAGGGAAGCACTAGATTAATGAAAAATATGCACACAGCTTGAAGGAATTAAGCAGATGCTGCTCCCCTTACATTCCCTGGTATTTACTTGACTCCTCCTGCTCTTTCTAGCAGGAGAGCAACATTTTTCCTGCTAGAAATGTAGTCTGTCCATACCCAGTGTCTCATAACTTCTTTAAGGTATCTTAAAGGAGAGATAAGAGACAGGTTTGTGACCCTGGTTTGAGGAAGGCGCAGGTAGTAGGCAAGCGCAGGTCCATCATGAAGATTTCTAACACTGCAAATTTCCCAAAAATTTGCAGCACTAGAAATGAATGCCAGTCCATATGCATTGTCAAAGCTGCTTTTCCAAATAAACTGCTTGTCCTTCCATACAGTATCAACAAATGGTAGTCAAGTCAACATAATGTTGGAATATATGAGAACATAGGAATAATCCAGAAAACACTGTCAACAAGACTGATGTATTGTGAGCCTTAAACTGTGTAAAATAAAAGTTGTTTGAAGTTTCCTAATTACCCTGCAAAAAGGGCTTTGTATGATCCAAGGAACAGGTTTGCTTTTTCTATAACAGAATGTGTTAAACAGACTGAGCCAAATTCGTAATGCATACACCAGTTCTGATTATGACTGACTTTGCTGGCAGCGTTATGATTTTTTTTATATGTAAAAGAACGTACATGATGTACAGAAAAAAAAGAGGTAACTGCGAACATTTAAAATACTTTAATTAAAATTAAGGTTTTAATTTTGTCTATATTATTAAGAAATAGAAAATAACAATCAACAGCTGCATTTCCTGTAGTTACCATATACCACAACACAAAACTTGTTTTCACAATTTAGAATCATCATAAAACTGTGCCTTTTAAATTAAAATATTGTCAGCTCTTATTCATCATCCTTTATACAAAAATGTCTGAAGGCATGACTAAAAAATAAACTGAACCCATTTATTACTCAAAAGTAATCAAGCAAATAACACAGCATATCTTGATCAAAGCTTGTAAAATTAGGATAAAAATTTTTAAATTGTGATTACAAAACAATCTGGTACTAGCTATTTTTGGCAGAAAAAACTAAACAGGATATGTATAAAGATATCCACGTTACTTCAGAAAGATAGAAATGGCAGAAAAATACTGAGGTCAAAAGCAATGGTAAGAAAATGAGTTTATTGCCAAATTGTAAAAATGTGTTGAGTCTGAGAGATGCTCCACATTCACACTCATTTTTTCACAGAATAACAACATTTATTGAGACAATTTACTTGAAAAATGTGTGTTGTAAAAATAAATGTGTACTGCAATTTTACATTCTTAACTAGTTATAAGACACATCATAATGTACTAAAGGACTTGTATTCATGACTGAAAGCATGCATATTCCTTACCCTGAGGTATTCCATTACCATATATCACAGATTAAAATAAAGAGAAAAAATTATCCCCTTGTCATTTCCAAGTTTATGGATGTTCTTAGAACCTAAATTTGTCTATGGACAGGCAGGTTTGTATGTGTATGGGGTGTCAAAGTACAGGTAACCAACAGCACATTATTTTATACACTTTTCAGATTTAAACATTAAAAATAAAACAAGGCAAATATTAAGGGCCAGACTTTCAGACGAAATCAGCTGTCACAGACACCAGATTTTCAAGTTTCTGAGCAAAGCATCTTGGGTACATGCTTATAATTAAAAACATGCTGAGACTGCTTTGCTGAATAGAGATAGGATTGTGTCCATGATAATGTGCTTTGCTGAATGGATGCCCAAAAGAATTGGAGGTGAGCTTTTTTAAAATTTTGGACCATGCTTAAGTCCTCCATAGGGTTGTTTTGTGATTTTATTCCTGCTTTATTCAAACATGGTGATCATTTAATGTGTTGCTAAGTTTCCCAGCAACAATTAATACAAGAAGTCAAATAACATCAAATATTGATTGATAATGAAAATCAGAAAAAAGTAAGAGGTATTACCAACCTGAGGCATTCACAAATCATGAAATAGCCCCCAAAAATCATGAGCATAATTTAAGGATCATTAAATTAAAAAAAAAAAAAAAATACACTTGATCTTATTTGCTCTCTGGTATTTAGGAGCACCTAGGTCATATGTCCCAACTTCTCTCTGAAATTATAAGAATAGAAACTTCCTTTTTAAAAATATAAATTAGATTATCACACAATTATTTGATTCTAGGAACTGTTGTTCAAACACCAAGTACTATGAAGCTTATGGTAAAGTTTTAAGAGTTGGCAACACTACTTAAAACACTTGTAGTCTACACCACATTTCAGAGTGCTTTATATGCACAGTTGGCCATTTAAAAGTATTTTTTTAATGGATTTAATCCATTTTAACTTTCCCATAGCCTCCTCTGCTATTTAAACTCTCAAAAGGTGCCCATTCTCACTTTATACCATGGCAGGACATTTTGTTGTCCAACTAGTAGCCTACAGGCTGCATGCAACCCACAAGGGGTTAACATGTGGCTCCCAGACTTCCACCAGCTACTGCTGCCCTTATCACTCTGGCTGCAGCAGCAGCAAGGATCTCAGGGATCCCCCTTCCCTCCTCCAGCTTTTGTTGCATGCTCTCAGCCCAGGGGCTGAGCTAGAGGGCAGGCCTATAGTGCCAGGGGAGCCGGAGACCTGGAATACCTATCTGTGTGGCACGGTGCACTGGCAAAGCCTGTGGCCAGACAACTGAAGGAGAGGCAGGATACGACATAGTGGGCACATCTACATGTGCATATTAATGTACAACAATAAACTGCATCACAGTGTATTGCTCCCAGGCACCACATTTACATGTGCATGTGGGACCACAACATGTTTCATATCTTTCATAGACATTAGGGCTGGAAGGGACCTGTTGAGATCATCAGGTCCAGCCTCCTGCCCAAGGGGCAGGAAGTCAGCTGGGGTCACATCACCCCAGCAAGATAAGCATCCAAATGTTTCTTAAAGGTATCCAGAGTAGGTGCTTGCACCACTTCTGGGGGAAATCTATTCCAGACTCTGGAGACTCAGACAGTAAAGAAGTTTTTCCTTATGTTGAGCTGGATCAGAGCAGTCCTGGCTGGCAGGGGACCCAGGGCATCAGTCTGTCAGCCTAGAACTGCT